ATAGACATTGGGGAGGGTATGTGCTATGGTGAGCATTGTGAATTGTGTAAGACTGTTGAATCACAGACCTGTACCTCTGAAACAAATACATTATATATTAAAAAAGAAAAAGAAAGATAGTAGGGTGGGATAAATGAAGGGGGGGAAATCGGAGGGGGAGATGAACCATGAGAGACTATGGACTCTGAGAAACAAACTGAGGGTTCTAGAGGCGAGGGGGCTGGGGGGATAGGTTAGCCCGGTGATGGGTATTAAAGAGGGCACGTATTGAATGGAGCACTGGATGTCATACGCAAACAATGAATCATGGAACACTACATCAAAAACTAATGATGTAATGTATGATGATTAACATAACATTAATAAAATAAAATTTAAAAAAAGGTAAAATAAAAATATAACTCGGGCACCTGGCTGGCTTGGTCAGAAGAGCATGTGACTCTTGATCTCATGGTCATGAGTTTGAGCCCCACCTTGGGTGCAGTGATTACTTAAAATAAATAAAAATAAAAATAAAATTTAAAAATACTTAAAAATAAAATAAAACTCATGTTACTGTTCAAATCCATGATGTTCACCATAAACTACTTTTTCTTAAGAAAGTAAATCTCTGATACTAACAAGTTTTACTTCTTTATTATAAAAGAATTCAGAAAAATTATCTGTTAAACTCAATAGGACATCAAAGGTGAGTATTTCAGAGTTTTGATAAAATTAAAACATTATGAGCAATATTTTTAATCTGCACAATATAAAGAGTTGATGCCAAAACACTTTCCAAAAAACCAGCAAGTGTACTAAAAATAAGGAAGAGAGTGAAAATAGTAGGAAAAAAAAAAAGCCTTATTACACTATCTTCCCCTCACTTCCCAGTTCCTGGAAGCTGCCTGGGAGGTTATATAAGCACTGAAGTATGTATTTCTAGCAAGAATGCTTTCCGTAGGAGGTAGATGGGAAATCAAAAATAACTATTATTTAACAGCAAAAAAAATCGGTGCAAGAAGTATTGTTTGCAAACTGCATAAAATCAGGTTCTTTCCTTACAGAAAGAAACAAAGAATACAAAACAGAGGAATATTGTCATAAATACTCTGAAGAAATCAGATCAAGCCCAGTGCTCTTGAGAGCTGCCTGCCTTTACTTACTTATAGCTTTGTAACAGAGAACAGTAATACAATTTTACTTGAGTCCCCAAATAGACTAGAAATCTACTGAGGGTAGGAGGTGTCCCTTCCTTTAATGACAAGAATCATATTTTCCACACAGTGTTTAATAAGTCTTCCTAGTAATATTTTATATTTGTACAATTTTGATGCAAATATACATAAAGATGGTCTTGTGTGAGCTTATATCTCTAGTAAGAGACAAGACAAAAACCAATCCCCATTTTGTAGGGCATCACATCTTCTCTTCTGCTGGCCTCCCTAAATACCTTTCACTCCCAATGAGTAAGATGAATGACAAACCTTGGCCCCCTCCCCCTAAAGAGGACCCTTTAATTTATCCAAAACCATCTTCAGAATTCTCCTCAGCAAAAGACAAATACTACCATTCATGCTCTGGATCCCTTTCCTTTAATTTATAACTTCTATTTGTTATGAGACCATCAATGTGAAAGCCATCTGGAAAGTGTGGAGTGACACGCTTTGTTACTTTGAACACAACACAAACGAGATCTTAAGTTGGCCTGCCTTTGCACTTCCTTTTTTGGAGGAAAAGAATGATTATGACTCTGGCTTTTCTTATAATTTCCTAATATAGAATAAGATTTATTGTTAACTATAAAAACAGGGCTTACATTCGCACCTGTGTAAGAGTTTGAATCTAAAACTTAAAGAATGAAATAATTACCTTCAGTTTGTTTGCTTCTTTCTTATCCCCAGCAAAAAAGGAATTCTCATCAAAATGCAAAGGAAATGACCTACGTGTTAAAACAGAGAGGATTCATTTTCAGGTATTATAAAATATTAAAGTCCTGCTAAGATAACATTTTGCTGGCTGGTGATGAATAATACAATAAAAAGAGTAGAAAATCTAGTAAAATCAACACTCTGTTGCCCCAAAACAAAGTCTTATCCTCAAATCTAAAACAACTGCATAAAATAGAAGTCTGGCCCCAAACCCAGTATGTCCAACCACATACGAAAATAATGTAGGTATCAAATACTACAAGAATGACTCTGAAAACTAAACACTTGTGCCATTTAGTACCTAAGTCAAAACAAAAACAAAACTCAATTCCAAAAGAGCTATAAGCAAAATTAGCTTTTAATTATTATTATTTTTTAATAATTTTCCTTTCTTGGGCCACCTGGGTGGCTCAGTCGGTTAAGCATCTGACTTCAGCTCAGGCCATAATCTCAGGGTCCTGGGATTGAGCCCCATGTGGGTCTTTGTGCTCAGCAGGGAGTCTGCTTCTCCCTCACCCTCTGCCCCTTCCCCCTGCTGGTGCTCTCTCTCTAATATAAATAAATAAAATCTTTAGAAAAACTTCTTCCTTTCTCTAAACTGAGTATTTTAAGAATTGAACTTTGATACCACTTGTCACTCTCCTATTAATGTTTAAGTTGTACAAGTCATAATATGGAATTTACTTGATTTCATGAAGTATTTCCAAAAGCAGCATTTTCTTTTCAGCATCGTGAACTTTATTTCCAGTGAAGAGTTGAAAATCTGGGCGCTCAAAGAACGGTACCACTTTAGATAAAGCCCTTAATTCTATTAAGTAGAGAAAATACAAGTTCTTAAGCCTTCTTGGACCCTCTCCTTCAGTCAAAATTCCATCAAATCGCTGCTGAAATTCTGTAATGTTGTGTCCCCATTTCTTTTCCAACCAAGTTTCTGAGAAGAAAGAAGAATTAAATATTAAAATCTGAATTTTAAAAGTTTCAGTTTACTTACATTGGGTTACTTATGCCTACAGAAGTATATCTGAAAATACAGAACAATGAAAGCTGCTTTTCATAATTTAGCTTTTAATGGTTCTACATCAATATTTTATCTTCTAGAACCCATCCTTAGGAGGAAAATAAATTCACTGTTTTACTGAGAAGTATGACTTCACAGAAATCAAATTTCTAAATATAAACATATTTATAAAACCAAAATACACAATTTAAAAATGACGACCTGAAATTACTGATAAGTCTGAAACTCTATTTAAAATTCAAGTTACTGTATTTTGTTCCTGAGACATAGAGATACTTGAAATTCCAAAAGAAATAGGCTCCTGATGAAAATCAAACATGGTCTTGTTTTGCAACAGCATTTTTAAAGCATAAAGAGCAGCAGAAAATACTTTTACCCATTAAACTCCAGGCCTGAAGTTGGCACACAAATAAAAGGGTTTTAATACAGTAAAAATATCTAATGAGTAACAAACGGGACCATTAGGAGCTATTTTAACTCCCACAACAAAAGAGTATTTCCAAAGAGATGTGCACAATTTTGAGCAGCTTCTTAAAAGAATCTGTAATTTCTACAGTTCTTACATTCCTGATTACTACCATTTAAGAATTAATTTTTAATGCCTAATATTCAATAGGGTCAACTTTGTCCCACTAAGGTAAATACCAAAAAATTTTAAGAATGTCTGAAAATAAGTATGGTAAAATATTTTTTTTCTTTTTGTTTTTTTTTGTGTGTATTTTTTTTAAGTATAGTAAAATAAATAAAAGTGAATGTCACATACCTTGTAGAAGATATCGTGCACTCAAATGCACATTAATGCTTGCATGCAGGCCAGATATAAGTCTGTAGAATGCTCTTTTTTCTACGCAGAGGCCTAAAAATAGTAATTTGGTAATTGAAATTTTATATGTGAAACGTACCATTTTAAAAATAATTTCATATGCCTTTAAAGATGAGAAAAATTTTTAACATTTAAATTTAAGTTTCCAATTACCTTCTAGCCAACTGTAAAAAGTATTCTCTGAAATTAAAAGAAAAAGAAGTCACAAAGTTGTAAAAATGACAAAATGTTAAGTTTTTCAATATATAATAGTAATCTGTGCCAAACAGTGATTTAAAAATTAATGAAACGTCCAGGGGTGCCTGGGTGGCTCAGATGGTTAAGCGTCTGCCTTCGGCTTAGGTCATGATCCCAGGGTCCTGGGATCGAGCCCCGCATTGGGCTCCCTGCTTGACGGGGAGCCTGCTTCTCCCTCACCCTCCTACTGTTCCCCCAGCTTGTGCTCTCTTGCTCTCTCTGTCAAATAAATAAATAAAATCTTAAAAAAAATAAAAAATGAAAGGTCCAAATTTTATTTGCAATTTATCCAAAGGGAGAAGAGGAGTTCTTGGTGTGGATTCAACTAAGTACCATTCTCTTGCTCAGTCTCTAGAAAGTTTCAGTATTGCCTTAGGTAGCCCCCATCTCATAACTTCCCAGATAAAATGTTTCATATGAGGTCAGAACACAGAATTTAAATAATAAATCAATGCAAGGAAAACTACTTAGCCTTGAAAACAAGTGATTCTATGAAAATTAAGAACTCATTATATGCTTTTCTAAAATTTTTTAAAATATTTTATTTATTTATAAAGAGAGAGAGAGAGAGCGTGCACACAAGCAGGGGGAGCGGCAGGCAGGCAGAGGGAGAGGGAGAAGCAAGGAGCCCGATGCGGGGCTCGATCCCAGGACCCTGGGATCATGACCTGAGCCGAAGGCAGACGCTTAACGACTGAGCCACCCAGGCGCCCGGGAAAGTTCCTATTTCTTATTAAAAACACAATGACAAAAACAAAAATAAAACTAAGCTTGGCTATTTTTATCCCAATTGACAGTACATTAGAGACATAAATTAGGGGAAATTTTGCTTCTAGAAGTAGCACAGTGACAGCATCTAGAAATAACAGAGTCCATGCAGAAGTGGCAATTAAAATAACTAGAAAAAGTAGAAATAAAAACTTAAAAACAGGGGCGCTTGGCTGGTTCAGGCAGTAAAGCATGTGACTCCTGATCTTGGAGTTGTTAATTTAAACCCCAGGTTGGGTGTAGAGATTACTTTAAAAAACAAAACAAAACTTAAAACAAATTTGTATGGGATCCTCTGGCTCAGGAACAGATACTTCTGTTTATCTCAACTAATACTAAAAGCATTGCCACAGTATAGCAAATTAGGATAAATTCATAAAAAATAGCCCTCATTTTTAAAACATATAAATAATGCTCAGCATCTAGTACTTTAAGATTGAAAACAAATTACTAGTAATTAAATTTTTAATATTCTGCCTAATCAGGCATAAATGTTAGTTGACTCATAATTTTACTTTTAACAAATACTTCATCTTGCCTCAACTTTTTAATAAAAAATAACTGTTACTGGGGCGCCTGGGTGGCTCAGTCGGTTAAGTGTCTGCCTTGGGTTCAGGTCATGATCCCGGGCTGGGATGGAGCCCCATGTTGGGCTCTCTGCTCAGCGAGGAGTCTGCTTCTCCCTTTCCCTCTGTCCCTCCCCACCACTCGTGTTCTCTCTCATTTGCTCTAAGTAAATAAATACAAAATTTTTAAAAAATTGTTACTATAGCCATATTTTGTCAGATGACAAAAGCTCAAATTTCTAATTAAAATTTACAGAATACCTCTGTCTTCTACCTACCATTTACATACATTATATCTTCCTTATAAAGCTATCCCTTTTTTTTTTAATACTCACCCTCCTTTAACAGAAGAAACAAATATAAAGGGACAAGTGATTCATCCAAGATAACAGAACTCCACCAGATAAGAATTATTGATTCTCAGTCCTTCCTACACAAATATAAGCAGGTAGTCTCAAAAGTACACTTTGATAAACGAAGTTAAAGTATTACTTTCCTTTCTCTAACGCTGCAGGTCTAAAAAAAAATGTGCTGCATGTTAAAAGTTTAATTTTATCTCATAGTAATATTCAGGCCAAAGAATCCTTGTGAAAAAGATGGTAAAGTTAAGGGGCTGGGAGAGCATTTTACCCCCCTTCTACACTAGTCTAAACCTTGGTGTAAGTCCACAACTCCTTATCCAACATCCCTGGGGCCAAATGTGTTTTGGAATTCAGAACTTTTCAGATTTTAGAAAAGTATTATAGCATATGCAACATATACTGAATAATTACTCCAGCAGGGACTGGGGCAGCAACTTTTAATCCAACACCAAAAATATTTCTGTAGTGAAACATGTGAATGTTCACACTAAAAGAGTCTGTGCTAAACTTAGGGGGAAAATATTCATTTTTCAGAGTTTTCAGATTTGGGAATTAGGAATAAAGGATTATAAATATTATTTGCCAAGGCATAACCATGTTTTACATTAGGAAAGCATATGTTTCTTTTTTTTCCCCAAAAAATGAAACCACAAAGTTAAAAATAAGTACTTTCTCTTTGCCTTCCTCTTTTTGGAGGGAATTGCAGGATTTGTCTCTCACTTGCAATGAAAATGATCTATATCATTCTTTTTGCTTATTTTTTTTTTAAGATCATTAATCTGCTTCAAAAGAGCCACTGGAGGATACCAAAACTCAGTTTGATTTGATTTTGGTTAGCCAATTAAAAGGCTAACAGTTCAACTAAGAAAAAGGAAAAATAGGGGAATCCATAAATCTGAATAAAGGGTTCTAATGGGTCCTAGGGCTCCTGGATTTGAACAGTACCAGAACTCTGGCCCAGCTTCCCATATCTCAGATACAACTCATGGTTTATTCTTCTCTTTTCCAAAAGCAACACACACCATCAAGGAAAATATGTAACAACCCAAGGCCAGTACAACAAAAGCAAGTTTTTACAATCTCCATCTCTACATTTGAGCTATTTATGCAAAATGTGTATATTACAAAAATCATATATATATTTTATATATTACTGAGATACACAAAACTGTAAGAGTCAGACTCAGGAGGTAAATTTTTTCCAGAAACTGAGGGTTTGTTGTTTTTTTTTAACTGTGGTAAAACGTATATAACGTAAAACTTACCATTTTAACCATGTTTAAGAGTACAATCCAGTGACATTAATTATATTCACAACATTGTGCAACTGTCACCACTGTTTCCAAACTCTTCTATGACCTCAAACAGGAACTCTAACCATTAAACAATAACACCCCATTCTCCCCCTCCACTAACCTCTGGTTACTCTGTGAAACATACAATAGTTGTCCTTTTGTGTCTGGCTTATTTCATTTAGCATAGTATTTTCAAGGTTTATCCATGTTGCAGCACATATCAAAACTTTGTTTATGGGCTAAATAATATTCCATTGTATGTATTTATTACACTCTGTTTATCCATTCGTTGATGGATATTTGGGTCATTTCTACATTTTTTTGTGAAAAATGCCACCACAAATATGGGCATACAAGTATCTGTTTCCTTGTCTTCAATCTTTTTCGGTACCTATTTAGCAGTTGAATTGTTAGGTCATGTGGTAATTCTGTCTTTTGCTTTTTGAGGAACTGCCATACTTTAGAAACTAAGGTCTAAAAACCATTTTAAAAGATTTTTTTTTCAGGGGCGTCTGGCTGGCTCAGTCAGCTGGGTGCCTGCCTTCGGCTCGGGTCATGATCCCGGGGTCCTGGGATCGAGCCCCACATTGGGCTATCTGCTTGGTGGGGAGCCTGCTTCTCCCTCTCCCTCTCCCTCTGTCTACCTGCTTACTTGTGCTCTCTATCAGATAAATAAATAAAAAATCTTTAAAAAAAAAAGATTTTTTTTTTTCCTTACACCCAATTTTAAACAAAACGCATACTATAAAAAATGTTATACCATCAGCTTCACAGAAGTTGTCTGAGGAATCATCATGCTTGGTCCACTGAAGAACAGCCTTCTGCGTTTCCTCACTTCAAATAAAGAAAACAGGTACAGTTATCCCTTTTTTTTAAGTTATCATTTCACAAGAAAAAACATAAAATACTACTGCAAAAAAAAAAAAATCAAACCTCAGAGATTCATCCACAGCTCCAAGTCGTTCAGCTTGTTCACATTCTTCAATGAGATTATTGGCTACCTCAGAATACTAAAAGAAAAAGGAGAATAAACAGATTACAACTTACTGCACTTTAAAAACTTTTTAAAAGAATTTCAAAGTTATTTGAAGTTCTTTTATACCTAGCACCATTTCCTTGGCTTTAAAACTTAAAAAAAAATATTAAGCCCTCACATCTCCCCTGAAGCTAAAAAAAAGACATAAAAGGCTTTGTCCCTTGTTTTTGTTGGTGAGCACATTTACTATATGGTCACAAAATAAAGAATATAGTTCTGATAACTCATTACCAAGCTGTTCACTAAGAAAATCTCTGAGGTCTAAGGAACACTAGGCAAAGCATCATGAGATAATGTCCCACTTTTTTTTTTTACTTTTTTTTCTTAAAGTAGTCTCCATGCCCAGTGTGGAGTCCAACACAGGGCTTGAACTCATGACCCTGAGATCAAGGCCTGAGCTGAGATCAAGAGTCAGACGCTTAACCAACTGAGCCACCCAGGTGCCCCAATGTCCCACTTTTCTAATGGCCTAATTGGAAGCATCAGTATTCTCTTCCCTAAATAAGCAGTTGGACCAGATGAAGTGTGTCTAGGTCCATCTCAACTCTAAATGCCAGGATTCTAAATATGCCCTGGGGCCCACCAAGTCTTATAAAAAGTATTCCAATATCTTTAGGTTTTTAAAATATATTCTTTAACCACTTCCTTCTCAACATCTAAGCCTTACACACATGCACACACACGCACACACACACACACATTATTCTGCTAGGCATGTATGTGGCACAGCGGAAGTGAATGTAGATCATAAGATTTCACAACACACTGGTCATCACCACCACAAAGCTGAAAGATAACACTGGAAGCAGAAGGCACAGAGTCAGGCGCCTGGGTGGCTCAGTTGGTTAAGCAACTGCCTTCGGCTCAGGTCATGATCCTGGAGTCCCTGGATCAAGTCCCGCATCGGACTCCCTGCTCAGCGGGGAGTCTGCTTCTCCCTCTGATCCTCCCCCTCTCATGCTCTCTGTCTCCCATTCTCTCTCTCAGATAAATAAATAAAAAATCTTTAAAAAAAAAAAAAAAAGAAGGCACAGAGTCAATCACTCAACAAATATTTATTGAGTGCCCTTATTGTTAGGATGACCATACTAATGACTGCCCAGCCTATCACACTTCCGAGGATAAAAGGGAACACTAAGATAACTGAAATGATACAATTTTTTGAAATATTTATTTACTGAACAACAACTCTGTTTCATTACATTGGTTGACCTATAAGACAGACAGCTCAATTCCAACACTATTTTTTTTTTTTAAAGATTATTTATTTGACAGAGAGAGAGAGAGGACAAGTAGGCAGAGCAGCGGGCAGAGGGAGAGGGAGAAGCAGGCTTCCCGCTGAGCGGGGAGCCCAATGCGGGGCTCAATCCCAGGACCCTGGGATCATGACCTGAGCCGAAGGCAGACGCTTAACCGACTGAGCCACCCAGGCGCCGCCCAACACTATTTTCAAAACTAAAATTCTTTCTACATAATTAAGTATTAAGGGGATATGATATATTCAACCTACTCTCAAATGGTTCCGAAAATAAGAATATGTATATAGAAAATAAGAATATGTATATATGTATACAGAATATGTATATAAAAATATGTATATAGAAAAATGAGGCAAAATACTAAAAATCAGTGAATCTGTAGAGTACACAAAATGTCTTTATACTAATCTTGCAACTTTTCTATGAGCTGTTAATTAGCTTAAAATAAAAAGTTAAAAATACATATCAAAAAATGAACAGAATTTGTTCAAAAAATGACATACCTATGTACATTAAAACAAAAAATTTTAAAACCTTATCATTATAACTATCTGATCATTAAAACATAAGTTAAACAAAATAACCTTTGGGTTTTTTTTTTTTTACTATTCTTTGTTTCTATTTAAAAATTTGTTAAGTCACATATGTCTCAATTTTATATCACTGGCATTTTTCTGAAGAAATTTTTTTCAACTTATCATTTTTAATTTTTCATAAAACTACCCATAATCTTCTTCAAAGTTAATTTTTATGGCTAGTCAATTTAAAATCATCAATACCTTCAATTAGCTCTTCCCTGCATTTATAATTTTTAATTGAGAAAAATATTCTCTCTACAGGTAAAGATGTGAAACTATTTTAAAATACCAAATTATTTTCAGGTCTATTCTTTTGCCTCCAAAGTATGTTTCTTCACTAAATATTTTAAGACAAAACTCATCAAATAATTTTTTTATTATTTTAAATGTTTTGCTTAATACAGATGCTACAAAATTGTAAGCCTTCTTATATCATTTCATTTCAGATGAGAATATAAACTTATCCAAATAAAAACACAAGTTTCATCAAGAAGAGACTCTTCCCACAAGAGGAGATACTCCAAAACACAATTATAAAATTTCAGAATTAAACCTTACAACACCATTTGAACTTTCGCCACCTAATGTGTTCAATCCCTTCCTAGCTTTTGTAGGAATAAATTTCGACGACTTTGTTTACAAGCTTTATTATAATAAGTGCAATTTGCTAAACCTTCAAAAGCTAAGGATATTTTTCTTTAAGCATTCCATTCATTGATACTTTGAATAATAATTTTCCACTGATGTTAAACATATAGTAATCGACGTTTAGAGATCTCACTTATTAGAAATTAGTTAATACCACTGAAGGACTCTTGGGTTGTTTTACAAAATAGTCTTCAAAAGCTCAAACATTTTTTTTTTTTAAAGATTTTATTTATTTATTTGACAGAGAGAGGCACAGAGAGAGAGGGAACACAAGCAGGGGGGAGAGGGAGAAGCAGGCTTCCCGCGGAGCAGGGAGCCCAATGCGGGGCTCGATCCCAGGACCCCGGGATCATGACCTTAGCCGAAGGCAGACGCTTAATGATTGAGCCACCCAGGCACCCCAAGCTCAAACATTTATAAAAGATGGACAGCAAAGAAGGTCCTCCTGCCCATGCCAAAGTAATATTTTCTTCAGTATTAGCTTCACCTCAAAAATTTTATGGTCATTAAGTGTATATATAAATATAAAAACCTGTACATTTTGACAATTACCACTTCAATCTTAATTGGTAAAATATCACAGCATGTTTGGACACAATTATGAATTATGTGTGTATCTTTTTTTTTTTTTAGGTGATCTCTACACCCAATGTGGGGCTTGAACTCACAACCCCAAGATCAGGGGCGCCTGGGTGGCTGTCGTTAAGCATCTGCCTTCAGCTCAGGTCATGATTCCAGGGTCCTGGGATCAAGCCCTGCATCGGGCTCCCTGCTCAGCAAGGAGCCTGCTTCTCCCTCTCCCTCTGCTGCTCCCCCTGCTTGTGGTCTCTCTCTCGCTGTCAAATAAATAAATAAAATCTTTAAAAAAATAAATAAATAAATAAATAATAAAATTAAAAAAAAAAAAACAACCCCGAGATCAAGAGTCACATGCTCTATTGACCGAGCCAGCCAGGTGCCCTTGAATTATGTGTATATCTTAACCAACTACAAATTCATTTCTGCTCCACAGATTTCTTGATTTAGTCAGAACTGTTTTTATCAAAATTTGTATATTATCACCACAGAACAAATATTTTGTCTTCAGTTTTGAGCTTGAAATGAATTTATACTGGCATTCACAACAGGGACAAATGTTTTCCCTCAACAGCATGAACTTCAAAAAGTTTTGATGATGATCTCGTCATTTAACCATGTGCAAAGTTCTGTCGTTGCAGCCAACACATTAATAGCTATGACATCATCCTTTGTATGTGAACAAGAAAACACGGAGGGGGCACCTCGGGGCTCAGTCGGTTAAGCGTCTGCCTTCAGCTCAGGGTCATGATCCTGAAGTCCTGGGATCGAGTCCTGCATCGGGCTCCCTGCTCAGCAGGAAGTCTGCTTCTCCCTCTGACACTCCCCCCTCTCATGCTCTCTCTGTCTCATTCTTTCTCTCTCAAATAAAGAAATAAAATCTTAAAAAAAAAACACGGAATCAAAAATGAGCAAAATTACTTTAGAATCTATGGTGGAAAAAGTGAATAGTGGTTGCCCCTGAGGGAAGAAGTAGAAATTGATTGGGACAGGGTATCAAGTGACTTTCTAGGGTAATGGTAATGTTCCCTATTATAATAGAAGCATAGATCACACAGGTATATGCATTTAGCATATGCACACTTAAGATTTGTGCATCTCATTGTATGTTAACTTTATAAAAAATACATATAAGGAAATACTGGACTCTGGTTAATGATACACTTCTACTTGTGTGTGTATATATATATATATATAGTTGATGACACATTTAAGGCAATGCACACTGATGCTTGCAACTTACTTTGAAATACATCCAGAAAATAATATTTTTTAATGGATAACTAGAAAGATGGACAGACACATATGAGATAATGTAAGTTTACAAAATGTAAATGGTAGAATCCAGGTGATGGGTATGAGTGTTCACAGGAAAATTCCTTCAACTTTGCTGTATATATGAAAATTTTCATAATAAATTTTCATAACATCAGAAAATTTTAATTCAGAACAGTTATTTAGTCTAAATGAAAAATCACATATATCAGAATGATACGTAAATGTACCACTGCATCTACACATTGTTTTTTTAAAAAATATTTTATTCATTTATTTTTTTGAGAGAGTGTGCCCATGAGCATGGGGGGGAGGAGGGAGTAGAGGGAGAGAGAATCTCAGACTCCCTGCTGAGCATGGAGCCCAACGCAGGGCTGGATCTTACCACCCTGACATCAAAACCTGAGCAAAAACCAAGAGCTGGATGCTTAACCAACTGTGCCACCCAGGAGCCCCAAGTTATCATTTTTGAACAGTTTTCTTAACCATTAATTTACAAAGTAGATGCTTAAACTTTGTCAGTAGATTTGTGTATTCTGGCGTTCATACGGTCAGAGATATTTCTATGGCCCTTGTGGATGGTAAATCATGACCTTTTATGCAAGTTACATATCATCAACTGTCGTGAGAAATCAAAATTTAATACTTTCTCATTAAGCATGCGCTTCTTTTTTTCTTTCTTAGTTATTTCGGCCAAAAGGATTCACTGTAAAACATTTTTTAATTACTAAATAGTAAAATCATTATAAATTGTTGATTTACACTATACAAAAAAAATAAAACCACTATAGGAAGACTACTCTTTCTATGCAGGATTGCTCACCCTTTTTTTCCCATATATATATTTAATAAACTGGACCTATAATTTCCCAGGTTTAACACTGACCAGTCAAATGGCATCCTGGAAGCTTAGGACAGATTACAGGTATGACACAGGCCACAGCACAATTGGCTGATAAGTCCAAGAGACCAGCCGGGCAGAATGTCCAATGATGTTCTGTTTCCCCCACTTCCCAAGACTATAAGGAGTTAGCTGTCCCCGGCCATTGTGTCTGCCTGCAATTAGCTTATCAGCAGGTATTTTATCGCCCAGTATATTTTCCTTGAAAAATCATTTATTTACATCTAGAAAAGGTCATAAAAAGAAGTGCAAGTTATTATTGGTCATCTTGGGGTTAAAGTAAGAACTCCTTAGTATACATACATCTCAAATAGAGGAGACAACAGAGGAAGCTAGAAATACAAAGTATTTGGTCAACCAGAACCATTTTAACTTATTTTAACACAACTATTAATATTTCATTTAAAAAATTTAAAACTCAGGACAAATGATAAATCATTCAGGATGCCAGAACAACAGGCATAAACCAGTTCTGCCTAAGGCAAACCGTGGCATATGGTCTCTTGATGTACTCTTGTTACTCTCTAAGTCCTCTGGATTTTACTCCAAGAGAGATGGAGCACATGAGAGGATTTTCAACAGAGAGATAAGACCTCATTTCTTTAAAAAAAAAAAAAAAATCACTCTCTGGCTCCTGGGTGGCTCAGTCGGTTAAGCATCTTGCCTTCAGCTCAGGTCATGATCTCGGGGTCCTGGGATCGAGCCCCGCATCGGGCTCCCTGCTCAGTGGGGAGCCTGCTTCTCCCTCTGTTCCTCCTCGCCAACCCCCCACCTGCATCAAGTTCATGCTTTCTCTCATTTCCTCTCTCTCTATCTCAAATAAATAAATAAAATCTTAAAAAAAAAAAAATCACTCTGGCTGCTGTCTTTAGAAGAGACAATAGAGAGGCAAGGGCAGAAGGAGGCATGCCATGAAGAGGCTACTATAATAATCCAGGCAAAAAGTGATGATGGCTTTAAATATGGCCGTAGCAATAAAGATTGTAAGATTCTGGGTATATTTTAAAACTCTGTAATTAGGGTGCCTGGGTGGCTCAGTCATTAAGCGTGTGCCTTTGGCTCAGGTCATGATCCCAGGGTCCCGGGATCGAGCCCTGCATCGGGCTCTCTGCTCAGCGGAAGGTCTGCTTCTCCCTCTGCCCCTCCCCCTGCTTGTGCGTGCTCTCTCTCTTTCTCTCTCAAATAAATAAATAAAATCTTTAAAAAAAAACAAAAAACTCTGTAATCACAAATTGAATTTGGCCTACCAAAAAAGGCCTTGAAACAATAACAACCCAGTAACAACTAGCACCTCCCAGGGCCCAGATTATAATCTCTAAATACCATTTCCCACTAAAAGAAATAGGACTCCTTAGGGGAAAAAAAAAAAAAAAAAAGCCTAGAGTAAGAAAGGTACAAAACTAGCCTAGAAGCTCTTTTCATAATAGAAAGCAAAAAGTCTACTAAGACTAGTGGGATCATCTTAAAAGGCCATAATTACTAACTTGAAGGAGCTGCTAGTAGCCAAAGACAAAACAACTCAAGCATCAAAAGGAATAATAAAAAATGACTATAATAGAGTCCAATTCATAAAATATGTCAAAACTCTTTTTTAAGATTTTATTTATTTATTTGACAGAGAGATAGAGAGAGAGAGCACAAGTAGGCAGAGTGGCAGGCAGAGGGAGAGGGAGAAGCAGACTCCCCACTGAGCAAGGAGCCCAGTGTGGGGCTCGATCCCAGGACCCTGGGATCATGACCTGAGCCGAAGGCAGACGCTTAACTGACTGAGCCACCCAGGCACCGCAATACGTCAAAACTCTTAAGTTCAAAATAACACTGAAAAATAAAAACCTTATTGGGCATCTTTGGAGGTGCTAGGGCACCAAACTCATAATTATTCTGAAAACTGGTAAACAAAGGAAAACAAGCATTTATCCTGTCTGTCCTGCATAAACTGTATTTCAGGGCATCCAAATAGCTGACAAGAAAAGATCTTTATAGAATAATAACAGATAATAAGTATAGAAAGAATGATATAATTAGAGTATCAACATTTTCAAAACCCTAATGAAAGAATACAACTAGGTAATAATCATCAAAGCTGCTAAAACTTTCATGGAAAAAGCTAGTAGGGAACTTTATATTGGATGTATAATGAACCTAATGATAGATCTTAACATCATAATAAAAAAAGAAAAGAGGGGCGCCTGGGTGGCTCAGTCGTTAAGCGTCTGCCTTCGGCTCAGGTCATGATCCCAGGGTCCTGGGATCGAGCCCCGCATCGGGCTCCCTGCTCGGCGGGAAGCCTGCTTCTCCCTCTCCCACTCCCCCTACTTGTGTTCCCTCTCTCGCTGTGCCTCTCTCTGTCAAATAAATAAATAAAATCTTAAAAAAAAATTGTTTTAAAAAAAAAAAGAAAAGAGACATTATGTGTCTTCTGATATAACAGTAAGTACACAACACTAATCAATACATATCAGAAAATGAATCTGAAAAGCCATAATACATAACTGCCAGTTCATAGAAAATAATGTGTTGAATGCTGTGACAGGGATACAATCAACTAAAACACAGTGTGGAAATTCTATAGGATAAGGACTCATTTCCTTCAACACGTAAGTTTGCAAAGAAGAAAAAAGAAGAGGGAATGAACATCGGTTAAAAGAGACTGAAGAGACAGAAATACGCAAGTAGTGCCAGAAAATAAGGAAGTGCTGAAGAAAGAGAAAAACCACAATGATGGGAGTATATCAAAGGGACATAGGACCAACTGAAACAGCTCCCAGTGGCCAAATTAGAATGATCTGAACAGTAAAATGAAGTTATACTAGATTATAATCCAGAGTATAAAATAAACATCCATAAAGACTTATCTGAGAATGGCTTTAAAATAATTGGGAAAATGGAGGACGAGGGACCACAGACTAATAATTGCTGAAGCTGGGTGATGGGTTTTTTTCTTTTATTTATCCCTCATGCTTTCCATAATAAAAGGTTGAACAAAAGGAAAAAATAAAGAATTGGAGTCACTGAGTACAAATGACTCTCCAGGGGTTTCACTGTGAAGGAGAGCAGGAAGTGGGGTCGTACCTGGAAGGGGAAAATGAGTTTTACAAGTTTTTTGTTAAGATACTAGACACATTAGTAGGTATGTGTACATACCTTGTAGCTTGCAGATTTAATTCCATCAGGAACTTCATCCTGAAAAAAGAAAAAAAATGCTTTTATCAGATATTTATTCTATCTTCTGAAAAAAAATTAAGTTTCTATAATTTGAGATTATTTTTATTTTTTTAAAGTTTATTTTATTTATGTAAGTAATCTCTACACCTGTTGTGGTGCTCGAACTCATGACCCTAAGATCAAGAGTCGCATGCTCTTCCAACTGAGCCAACCAGGAGCCCCTATGAGATTATTTTTAAACTGAGAATAGTTAGGCAGTTTTTATATTACTTCTTAAAAGTAAACAAAAACCCAACAACAAATTATTGTATAGGTTGCTGATCATATATTTTATTACTTACGTAATAGCATGGAAATGTAAAAATAGTCACTCCTTTTGATGCTCAAATTGTCCCACATTGGCAACCAGGGGACCCACAAAGTGCTGACTTGATATCTATACCTGTGTCCTATTGATAGGATCCCAGTAATCTTTAGAGCACTTTTTGTTTTCTGTTATGAGAAGATATTCCAGGCTCACCTTGTATATTTCTTTTTTTTTTTTTTTTTACAGATTTTATTTATTTATTTGAGAGAGAGAGAGAGTGCGAGCACATGAGTTGGGGGGAGGGGCAGAGAGAGAAGCAGACTCCCCACTGAACAGAGAGCCCCATGCGGGGCTCGATCCCAGGATCCCAGGATCATGACCTGGGCCAAAGGCAGATGCTTAACTGACTGAGCCATCCAAGCACCCCACCTTGTATATTTCTTGTTCCAGTCTTGGAATCAACTGTTTTTTAAGGAGCCCTAGTTCTTTTCAGAGCAAAATGGCACTGGTTTTTAGTCGTGTGTTGGCCACTTACCAACTATAGGACCTATCTGTCTATCCTCAAAGTGATGCTATGAATAGACATAATGATGTATGTACTCTGTAAATTGTAGGGCCCTATTCCAGTGCTAAGTATATTTCTGAAATAGATTATATCTGCCCAAAGGGAAGGACCCACACAGAGATAATCACTTTATTGTGTAACTTTCCAGACTTTGAACTACCTCAATGTATAATTCTTTTTCTAAGACCAGATATTTAGATGGTTTCTAATTTTTTAATATCATGCCAAATTCATAAACTAATTTTAGCAGAATTGACACCTTTACAATATTTATTACTGCTTTGGTCATCTTTGAACATCTGTCCAATTATTTTAGTAAGTGAAAATCCTGGTGGAATTGCTAGACCAAAAGATGTGTACCTTTTTAATTTTGTTGATACATTTGCTGAACTGATCTCCAAAAGGATTTAATGACCAGAGTGCTCATTTCTTATTCACAGACTAACACTGGATGTTGTTATTTGTTTGCACATTAGTCAATTAATAATGGAGGGGAAAGAATGTGGTTTTGGCCCATTGTAAAGGTAATAAATAAATGGTCTTTCAGTTTATAGAGAGATTCCAGGTTGTGAGTTCAAGCCCCACATTGGGTGTAGAGATTACTTAAAATAAAATGTTTAGGGATGCCTGAGATTCTGTCAGTTAAGCACCTGACTCTTGATCTCAGCTCAGGTCTTGATCTCAGGGTCGTTAGTTCAAGCCCTGAAAAAAAGATGTTAAAAAAAATTTGCTTAAAAAAAAAAAAAAAAAGATGAGAGGAACCTGGTGGCTCAGTCAGTTAAGTGTCTGCCTTTAGCTGAGGTCATGATCCCAGGATCCTGGGATCAAGCCCCACATTGGGCTCCCTGCTCAGCAGTCTGCTTCTGCCTCTCCCTCTGCCCCTACTCCCTGTTTGTGTGCTCTCACTCTCTCTCTTGCTCTCTCTCTCTCTCTTTAGCTTGTTCTCTCTCTCAAATAAATAAAATCTTAAAAGAAAAGAAACATTAAAAAAAAAGATGAGATTCAAATTTTCAATAATTGTAAAACCACTTGCCTGTTCTTGCATGTTTAATAAGTCATACATAAGTTATTTGTAAACTTGAATTCCCCCAACTAATGTTTCCTATTACTAAATATAAATGCTAGAACTTAGGAGATAAAATGAAACATTTAAACTGATGATATCACTTTAATGATATTTTCATAACAGAGGTTGGTTCACAAGTTAATTCTTGAATTTTCAAAAAGTTTTGTCTGTGAGGATGAGTATAACTAAAGACCTGATTCTCGGGGCACCTGGGTGGCTCAGTTGTTTCAGCATTTGCCTTTGGCTCAGGTCATGATCCCAGGGTCCTGGGATCGAACCCCGCATCGGGCTCCCTGCTCAGCGGGGAGCCTGCTTCTCCCTCTCCCTCTGCTGCTCCCTCTGCTTGTTCTCACTCTCTCTCTCTGTCAAATAAATAAAATCTTTAAAAAAATAAATAAATAACTAAAGATATTATCTAATGATAAAATACCCATAATATATATACCCATAAATAATATTTTTACATTTGCTTTAATTCCATATGCTGGATAGGTCTATACAGCAATATTTACACATATAAAAATAAACCACTCAAAATTATAGCACCACTTCATACCCATAGGATGGCTATTAACCTGAAAACAGAAAAAAGCGAGTATTAGCGAGGATATAGAGAAATTGGAAGCCTTGTACATCGCTGGTGGGAATGTAAAATGGTATAGCCACTATGAAGACATCATGATGTTCCTCAGAAACTTAAACCGAGAACTGCCGTACGATTCAGTAATTCTAATGAACCGAAATTAGGAATGCAAGCTGCATACTTGTGCACCCATATCCAGAGCAGCATCATGCGCAATGGCCAAAAGATGGGAATAACCCAAAAGCCAATCAATGGGAGAATGCATACATGAAATGCAGATATACATACAATGCAATATTATTCAGGCTTAAAAAGGAAAAAAATTCAAATACATGCTACTATGGATAAACCCTGAAAACATGTCAAGTGAAACAAGCCAACACAAAAGGACAAATTCTGTAATAATCCCCCTTATACGAGGTACCTAGTATAATCAAATTCAAAGAGAAAGAAAGTAGCATAGTGGTCACCAGGGGAAAGAGGGAGGGCAGAATAGGGAGTTACTGTTTAATGAACGTGCAGTTTCAGTTTGCGATCAGGAAACAGTTCTGCAACTGGATGGTGGTGATGGTTGCACAGCAACGTGACTGTACTTAATGCCAATAAACTGTACACTAAAAATGGTTAAAACTGTAAATTTTAGGTTATGCATATTTTAGCACAAAAAGTAAAATAGAAATATATGCTTTTAAAGGGAGAAAAAGGGGGCGCCTGGGTGGCTCAGTCGTTAAGCGTCTGCCTTCCGCTCGGGTCATGATCCCGGAGTCCTGGGATCGAGCCCCG